GGGGGGTTGGCCGCCGATGAGTAATCTAGCAGCTAGCCACCAAGAGCTGGAATAAAAAGAACAGGCAAAGATGCAGAAGGAGGAGGGTAGAAAATGGGAACAGAAGCAAGCAAAGGCTGCAATTTGCTAGAGACCAAGGACATAAGGGAGGAGTGTTGAAAAGCAGTCTCCACCCTGGACTCCAATGAGTCAGGAAGATTCCTAAAAACTGTTCTATAGAAAAACAGAGCCATACCGAAATCACAGAGACAAGATGTGATTAAGTCCACGTTAGTTAACAGTGCTTTTCTACCAAGGAGATCCCAACAACAGAGGAGCCATGTTTGAAAGGAAAGGGCCAAAGAAGACAAGCATGCTAATGTGGAATATATAAGGGAGTGAGTATCCTTCTGAAAACCCAGCCAAGAAGTGGTGGATAGCCTTGGACAGGAGATAGATGGATGAAAGGTATCTCAGGAGGGTGGAGAGGGACAAATAGAGGTGGGAAAATTGGGTTTGGGTAAATCTCACAGAGGTATCATGGTCAGAACCCCACACCTGGATCAAGGACTCTAAGGCTTGAGAGTTGTGAAATAGAAGATTCCAATGATGGTAAGCCAAAGTGTAATTATCAGACATAGAATGGGAATGAGGCATGCTGACCCCAGAATGTAACTGTGCAACAAACTGGTCAGCATGGATCCCAATACCTGGAAAGGGAAGGAAAACCAGGTAGTCAGAGGAAAGAATGGAATGCAATAGGGATGGAGAAGAGTCATATGACACAGGAGGAAAAAAAACAAAAAGTAACATACCGTAACACCATATCCAGATGGAAGATGGGATTGCATGGCAAAGGAAGTGGATAGAGGCTATTCAAATTGTCATCATATTGTTCATGTTCACCAGGAAAAGGAATACCTGGTCTGGGATCAGGATACATTATAGGCTGCATAATGGACTCCAATTCAAGATGTAATAAAACCTAGACTTCCTCAGCCAAAAGTGTTGAGCCTGAAGCCTGAGAAACTGCAGGTAGAGGTCCTGTAGTACTGTTTACTACAGTGGTTAGTAGCAATGATTTGAAATTCAGAATTCATAATTCAACTGTGAGGAATAACAAAATTAACAACTAACACTAACTCAAGTTTCACTGTAGAAAAAACTAAAGCAGAAACAACTAAATTGTATAACTCTTTGTCTCCAAGCAGCTGATATACCGGCAGAGCAGCTGGTATATAAGCTTGTAGGTCTTATTTTGTTTCGCAATCAATCCACATTTTGAATGTCTTATATATTCAATGTAAAACTAAAACTACTTCCGTTAACGAAATTTCTTCAATCTGAGCACCAATTTGATAGAAGAAAGACTTGTTTTCAGTAATTTACACGAGTGTTTTGAACCCCTATTTTGAAACAAACAAAATGACCATGCCCACTACTTCTGGTGAGCCTCATTACTTTACTTCTGAGGAAGCTAGGAACTTATTTAAAGAATTTCTGAGCCAGGAAAATGACTTTATTCCTAGTAATCTTGATTATGATGATTTTGAAAGTGAGAAATCTGACTTGGACAGATCTAGCGAGTATGAGAGAGAGGAGAGTCCTGTGGCAGGCCCTTCAGGTGTGACTACGGGTGAAAGGAAAGGAATGACCAGTGATGCTACCATGAGGAAAAAGAAAATCAGAGTCTGGATCTAGACCTAACAAGAGAAAGAGGACTGTTGTAGAAAAAGGAGATTGTGAGAAGATGTGATGAAGCAGCATAGAGAGTAGTTGAAAAAGGAGAGAGACTGATGTGAACGTTTCATTCCGTAAGCTACAACAAAACCTGAAGCTGGATTTGGATGAAAGCCATTCACAACTGAATTTCTTCAAAGCTTTACTTGATGAAGAATTTGTGGCCACTTTGATTTCTGGAATCAATGCATATGCAGCAAAGGTTTGGAGAAAAACAATCCTCCAACAAAACAATCATCATTTGCCTCGTGGACACCAGTTACTTATTAAGAATGGTTGAAACTTATAGCAGTTTTGATTGTTGTGGGTTTGGACCCTTGATTCAAGATTAGGGACTACTGGTCTACTACCGGATGTCTCTACACACCCTGGTATTATAAGATATTTGCTAGGGACAGGTTTGAGATCATCTACTGCAGCATGCTTCATGTCTGCAAACCAGATGCCGAAAACAAAGCAAAGATTGAGCCATTTGCTGAGAAGCTGTTGGAAAAGTTCCAGACTGCCTTCTACCCATATAAAAATGTGTGTATTATTGAGATGATTATCAGGTGGAAAGGCAAGTTCAAGCAAGTAAGCCCCAAAATATCACGTTAAGTCATTCGAGCTTTGTGATTCTGTGATGGGGTATGTTGTCAATTTGAAAGTTTATTTTGGAAAGGACACGGCATACAACTCTGACCTTGACACTACCTCTGGTCCTATTGTCAAAGTTTTTGACACTCTTCTGAAGCCCGTACAGCCAAGTCATTATGTATTTGCTGACATGTACTACACTTCAGCTGCTCTTGCAGATAACTACACACACACAGCTTCAATTACACTGGCACACTCTACATCAACCACATCAGCTTTCCTGCAAAAGTGAAAAGTCTGAAACTTGACCATCAGGAGGTGAGGTGATTTTTGAACTCAGCAAACAAAACTCTGTGTGTCAGTTGAAGGACAAAAAGCCAAGTGTGTTGGTATCAACCAAAGTTGAGGTACAAACCATTCAAAAAGGAGCAGGAACAAGCACCAAAGTAAAGCCAAAAGTTGTGGATGACTACATGTCGATGAATAACTGCAATCGCATACACCATATTATAGTATGCAGAACCACAAAACCTGGAAGTGTTAGAAGAAAGTATACCACTGGGTTATTGAAGAGACCCAAGTAAATGCCAACATCTTGTACAGTTTATGCCAGCCAAAAAGGAAAAAAGAAAGTGAGCCTGCAAATTTTCAAACAAAACCTCATTGATGGCCTCAAGAACAAAACTACAGAGGTGACACCTGAAGACATCATAAACTGTCCACCAAAGAATTCAGAACATGGGAAGAAAGGGAATGAAGTGGAGAGGGTGGTTGGAGATAGACATTTTGTGTACTGTGAAGGAAAGGATCAAGACAGTGTGCAGTGCATTGGTCCTGGTAAACACCATTGCTCCAGTTATGTTTACACAGGATGCACAGACAGACCACATCTGTGTCCAAAGAAGTGCTTGCTTTATCACAAGCAAAACAGAGTAGCATTAGCCTTGAAATGATGACTGCTGTAAATAGACTGTATATACTTGTAAAATGTTGTTCCTGATTTGCTTCATTTATTACTTCTCTTTGACGTAATGCATACTGATGCACTATTCTTCAATAAAATGCACTTTACTGATGATTTTAAGGACAATTATGGATGTACATGCCAACAATCTTCATTTGCCCATCATTTTGGAGCTTTTGCAATGGATATTGATCATGGGGGAAGTGTTAAGACTTGGTAAGTTATGCTTGTTTGAATATTTCTTCATCTTGTCTATCTTTCTGTCATTCTTTCAGTTTAAAATTAATTTATCTTTCTCAAAACCTTCATAGTTTTAGTAGAATATGAATCTACATCCATTTATCTTTACTATGATGTATAATACTATATATATTTCTATAATCAAGTATGCCTAGACTGCTTTGCAAAAGAAACATCCTCTAATACACTTTCTTGTGGCCATTTTTGCTCTGTCCATAGCCTGTATTTGCTCAGGAGATAAAGAGTTAAGAAATGGAAAAAGCAAAAAACTTTGAAAATGTCTTCACACGACAGTGCCAAACCAAAAAGTGAAGATTGGGTTGTACACTATAGGCAGAGCCAGCTGTGGCAGGAGTGTGTGTCGCACTCATATTGGTGAAGAGTTGTCACATGCTTATTTGCATGCTACAGTGCAGCTGTATCATGTTAAACATGTGAGGTTGGTGGGATTATCAAGACTAGTGGTACGCAAAAAATTTGTGCATATAGAGGAGAGGGCAGCACTGAACGAGAAAAGCTTTTATGTGAGTAGAGGTAAGGTATCGCATCAGAACTTATTTGACTTATTTCATGTACTTTGTTGTAAGCATAAGATGGTTTTATTTGTCATAACAGATCTGTTTGTAGGCCTTACAACATTTTATTTCAGTTGTCTTGTCTCTTAAATGTTCATTAATGCAAGCAATATTTTAATCTTTTTTATCTAGCCTGTTTTTAAGTATTCAAATAGTAAGTTTATTTAATGATATATCTGTTTATTCTGTAGTTCTCATCAATAGCAGGTTATGTTGATAATATGTAAATACATTATGTTATCTGTATTTTATTTTACTAGTAAAATATACTGGTTATATCTAACTACGATTTCAACTATAGTACAACTTAATCTTTAGTACACAGTACAACACTGTGAAAAGAAAAACTAACTTCATATCAAATACTTCAATGACTTTTTATATCATACCTTACAACTTGACAGACAACAAATCATTAAAAAAGTTAAGAAACTCACCTTGTGAAGGTTTTAAGCCTTGCTTCCACACTTCTATGTCGTAAACACAGTCTGGTTAGAGCTGTCCCTATGTCCCTTGTAGCTCCTAAAGACAAATACAGTAAACAGCACCAAAATTAATAACTTCTACCAATCCTCCCCTCCAGTTATACAGGATTTGTCACTTACTTATGTAACAGTCAATGACCTAAAGAGAACACAGGAAACTACAACAAAGTATCTTAAGACATTTCTCATAATTCCTCAAACAAATATTACTTTTGTTACGTCTCCGTTTGTTAATTGATTTTCCGTAAATTCGTTCTGACGAAACTTTAGCGACACAAGTCCTCTCTTAAATAAAACTGGTTTATTCTTTCCGAATACAACTTTACGATACACGTATTTTCAACAGTCGCGCTATAACAAACTATAATAACGACGTTAACTTCAACAATATGTCTCTCTCTGACTGCAGTTCAATTACTCATTACCTACACACACATTGTTCTCCCGTCACGTTGTCACCCTCTTATATATACCAGACTACCCCATATCTAGTAATCTCCCGACAATTCACGAAGGTACAAGATATTTCCAGAAAGCAGGGGGCGTGACACTAGTCACGTGACCTCGCTGACGCAACACTTTCTTTACAGCCTTGAAGCCACCCCTTTAAAATAACAAGTAATAATTATAGAATATAATTAGACATAACTACATGTAAATAATATTTGGTCCCTTTTACAATTGGTAATGTGATACCATCTTCCTGATCCTGCACAAAGGCTATACATCCTAAGCCTAAAAGACGTACGATGCAAAAAATGTGAATCAAAAAATTTATATACGTCTATTACAAATTAAAAAGCCATGAAAAAGCAAATGGTTCTCACTTTAAAACTACATTTGTCTCTGTCTTGTTGTTGTTTTTAATAAATGTAACATTCATTTGTTAATTCCTCTATATTTCCACATCAAGTAGCTAATACAGTCAAATAAACTAAATCTATATTAAGTGTTAATTACCAAAGCTGATGTGTAAAATATATAAATGGTAGGTTGGATTTACTTCATTAATATTAGATTCAAGATTTCTGATTGAAGTATAATGATACAACTTTAAACACAAGAACAGGAAATATACACACATATTCAGTTGTAATTAAAAGATGTCATGGATGTGTCTGTACTTTTGTAATAAAGTATATCAAGGCAAACAGATTTGAATCACTAATCCATTCACAATTATTAATTTGTAGTCCTAAATCATCAAAAGGCAACTATGAAAACTAAATATTGTTTTAATGCCAAACACAGGGTGATTAAGTAGTGAAAAAATAATGCTAATTGTTATATCACACTTGTGGAACTTGTGACAATAAGGAATTACAGGAATTTGAACTACAAACGTTTTGTATGTGAGCCCTGAAATGCTTAGATAGATAAATGCATCCCTGTATTTAAGAAATCCTTATACATAAGTTTAAGTATACTGGATATTTTAATTCAATATTTTTTGCATCAACATTTACATACTTTTAATGAATTACCCACATTGTGTAATTCTTGAACTTTTATTTTGAAAGATGATAACCATTTGCTGAAATCCTTTTCTAATAAAGCAAAGAAACCAAAATAGGGATACTATCAAAGATCCTTCTAATGTTTTACCAAGTCATACAAATATTTGATTGTACAATCCTAGTTAGAACCATATCAAAAACTGCATTAATTGGATTAAGTTTCTGGTTTTAGGGCAGAATGCTGTCAAAATGAGTAAGGAATCCTTTTAGTTTTCTTATGGTATAAAGAAGATCTGGATAAAAAAGTATGTCTTAAAAAGGAAAGAAAATGTAACTCCTCAATTTTAATAGTAATATTTAAGCTTGGATGTTGTGAGTTTAAGAATTCAAAGAAACATTCAACACATTCTTTGGACCTCTAAAAGGTGATATTTTAATCAGTTTGTTCATTCATTACAAAGAAAATCAATGCCAAAGGTAAGGCCTAGAGGAGAGCTGATAGCAACATAGTTAATGTGGTCACATAGGTTGCTTTAAAAACAAAATTATTAGTTTTTACAATTTAAGAGGTTAAAGTTTTAAGATGTTCTTTCATTAAAGTCAATTTCAATTTGATCTTCCTGAAACTGTTTCGAGAGACAAATCTATTGTTTCGTGAGGTAGGATGTTTGTGAATGACAATGTCATATTAAAATGTACCATAAAATAAAACATTTGTCCAAAAGCTGTATATGCAACACATTTTTAATTTCAACAGCAAACGAAAAATGATCAAGAAATGTGAACTTGTTACTTGTTAGCAGTTTAAAAACTGGATCTAAGAATTTTACAACTATGTAACTGTGTTCTTAAATTTCAGTTATTTTTCTCAAAACTTAGAACAGTAAATAAAGAAATATTGAAAACAATGATCTCTTCAACTTATGAAGTTTGTATTCACTTGTCATAATTTGCTGAGCCTTGTGAAATTTTGCACGTGAATGATGTAAAACAAAATTGACTTTTTGAGGTTTTACATATGCATTTTGAAATAACAAAAAATCATAAATTATTATTACAATACCACAAAATTTCACTATAATTCATCAGGCTTAGTAACTAAATAAATATGACATTTTGAGCTCCACTATCTCTTACCTCTTCGCTTCAATCCTACTATGAAAAAGAAAGGTTTTCCCATATAAACACTATGCAAAGGCTGAGAAAAGCATGTGGGGGACATTCTGAACTTTCAATTGGTTATGCACACATTATAGAGAGAAGTAGGTGTATGTAAGCAAGTATTTTCAAAAATAGAAGAGGTGGGCAAGACTACCTTGGTTGATTCACTAAATATAATAGTATCTCAGAAAAGAGGTTCTTAGTTTATATTCTAGCTTGTCAATATTAGTAATTTGAGTTTCTAATTTGTAAGTAACTATAGATTTTGTATTTGGACTTCACAAACATCTAATTTGAACCAAAACTGCATTCAACATACCATGTAACTTACAAAAATCAATATTTAGGAATTATTTAAAATATTTACTTTTAAATTAAGGAATTAACTAATGTATAATACTGAAATTTGGATCCTAATCTACACTCTGATGCCAAACTTACTGACATACATTCGTGAAATAGTCATTCAATAAGTTTTGAATGTAAATCTACAAACGTGATGATATGCACTATGATCCCTACTCCCAGCAAAACCAATCTAGATAGAGTTAATACTAATCACAACTACAAGTTAAGACTTCTTTTGTATTATAAATATGTTCTATTTCATCATTGGTTTGTTCTTGTTGATTCTAACACAGTTCTTTTTGATGTTAATATTAACTTAACTTTTTATGTTTATACCATATATATTTTAATGAATGTGATTTGTTGCACTACATTGTTCAATCTATTGAGTCTTTTTTTTTTTGCAGGTATACATTATTGCCTCTTACAACTAAATCATACCTAAATAAAAAATACAATAAGAACAATTTATGTAAACTGTAATTTGGCCTAACTAACTAATTATAGCTACTACATTGCTGTAAATGTAATAAGATGTAATAGCAAAAATTGCTTCACATGTCCCACTCTTAACTCCTTTCATCTTATTACATACACACAAATTTATTTTGTAAACTAAAGAATGTAGTTTATCTTTTAACTTGTAGTGAATGCAAAATGCAATATACCGGTCTAACATTAAATCCATTACATATAAGCAAAAATTTGCATAGATCTCAAAGCAGAAACAATGCAATAAATTCAATAGAATTAAAACATTTTACAGTTTACTCTTTTACTTATGTTATAATAGCTATTTTAGACATTTTTCTATGTAGAAAATAAAACAGACTGCAACATGAAAATTTTTATATATTGAAATTACAAATGTTATATCCTAATGGATTAAATCAAGATTTCAATAATATTATTCAAGTAATGATAAATGCATTATATTTTCTCTTTTTAGAACGTTTTTCTAATAAATATAAGAAAATAAGAGGTAAAGAGAATTTTGCAGTAATTCAAATAATATATTTTATTCCAGGAATATATGTATGTTATTTTTATAAAAATAAACAAACTTAAATATTCTTAAAAATCTGGGCAATAATTAAAATAATTAACGAATTTAATTTTCAACAGGATGATACAAAAGATATAGTGAAATATAGATTAAAAGTTAAGAATGCATCAAGTTTTAAGAAAGATAATCCTGAAGTAAAAATTTTGTATATGGTAATTAATTTTACACATATAATATAAAATGATTTACAAATTGTTAGTATTACCAGCTGGAGTACCTTTCTCCTGAATAAAAGTTATGTATATTCATGATTAATGAAAGGTTATCTTAGGACATGAAAAGTTGTTTCCCTTATAATTAATTGTAAGAAAATGCATAAATGCCCATAAAAATAGCAAAACACAAAATGTGAAACTGCAAATTTGCATGTATTTATGCATGAACTCAACAAAACTTCATGGCAAATTTGGTGAAGATCCATCAACAGGGGGCAAAGTAGTAGTAAAAAATGCAAAAAATGCCCATAAAAACTGCAAAACTGAAAATTTGTGTATACCCTCGCATGGATCTAATGAGCATCCATAACAATTTTGGTGAAGATCCATCCACAAGGATGCAAGGCAGTTACATGGACATACAATAGACAGTACAATTACATTTATATAGATTTTTCAATTTACAAAACAAGACATTTTTCTTTATAAAAACTTGACACCTATAATTAGGTATAAATATGAAATTCTGATTAGAATAATCTTATATAATTATAAGTTTCTTAAATAATTTAGATTTTGATCATGTAAATTCTTTACTATGTGAATGTAAAAATAGTAAACTTATTGATACTTTTCATAAATATATCATTACCGGTAGCTTAACAACTGTAAAAGATGAACTACTGTGTGAAATTCTTAAGAGTGCTTAAATACAGAATTGCCAGAAAATGTGATAAGCAAGATATTCTAAAACCAAATGAAATCAAATCAGTATCAAGATGTACATCTTTAAATTAATTATACTACATCTTGTCCACAAAGATGGTTTTTAGAAGAAGTTTTATGTCCC